CTCGTCATACTTCACTACACGTCATACTTCACTACTCGCATACTTTTCTCTACTAGTCATACTCACTACAAGTCATACTTCACACTCCATACTTCACTACACGTCAATACTTCACTACACTCAATACTCACTACCGTCTACTTCAACTACAAGTCATACTTCACTACAAGTCATACATCACTAACAAGTCATACTTCACTACTTCGTCATACTTCACTACTTCGTCATACTTCACTACACGTCTTACGTCACTACAATCATACTTCACTACAATTCAAACTTCACTACACTCATACTTCACTACAAGTCATACGTCACAACAAGTCATAACTTCCCTACAATCATACATCACTACAAGTCATACTTCACTACACGTCATACTTCATCTACAAGTCATACTATCCTACTCGACATACTCACTACAAGTCATACATCACTACAATCATCCATCACTACAAGTCATACATCACTACACACATACTTCACTACAAGTCATACTCACTACATTCATACTTCACTACAAGTCCAAACTTCACTACAATCATACTTCACTACACGTCATACTTCACTACAAGTCATACTTCACTACTCGTCATACTTCACTACAAGTCATACTTCACTACAAGTCATACTCACTAACTCATCATACTTCACTACAAGTCATACTTCACTACAAGTCATACTTCACTACACGTCATACTTCACTACTCGTCATACTTCACTACAAGTCATACTTCACTACAAGTCATACTTCACTACACGTCATACTTCACTACTCGTCATACTTCACACAAGTCATACTTCCACTACAATTCATACTTCACTACTCCTCATACTGCACTACAAGTCATACTTCTCTACTCGTCATACTCACTACAAGGTCAACTTCACTACACGTCTTACTTCACTACAAGTCAACCTACACTACTCGTCATACTTCACTACCAAGTCATACTTCACTACAATCATACTTCACTACACTCATACTTCACTACCAGTCCTACTCACAACAAGTTCATACTTCACTACAAGTCATACTTCACTACTCGTCATACTTCACTACAAGTCATACTTCACTACTCGTCATACTTCACTACTCGTCATACTTCACTACAATCAGACCTTTCACTACAAGTCCTACTTCACTACAAGTTCATACTTCACTACTCGTCATACTTCACTACTCTCATACTTCACTACAAGGCATACATCACTACTCGTCATACTTCAACTACAATTCCATACCTCACTACTCGTCCATAACTTCACTACGTCATACTTCACTACAAGTCACTTCTTCACTACTCTCATACTTCACTCCTCGTCCAACTTCACTACAATCATACTTCACTACTCTCATACTTCACTACAATCATACTTCACTACTCGACATACATCACTACAAGTCATACTTCACTACAATCATACGTCACTACACTTCAAAACTTCACTACTCGTCATACTTCTCTACTCGTCATACTTCATACTCGTCAGACTTCACTACAAGTCATACTTTCACTACAACGTCATAACTTCACTACTCTCATACTTCATTACTCGTCATACATCACTACAATCATACTTCACTACAAGTCTTACTTCACTACCGTCTTACTCACTAACAAGTCATACTTCACTACTCGTCATACTTCACTACTCGTCATACTTCACTACTCGTACTTCACTACACGTCATACTTCACTACTCGTCATACTTCACTACACGTCCATACTTCACAACTCGTCCTACTTTCACTACACTCATACTTCACTACTCGTCATACTTCACTACTCGTCATACTTCACTACACGTCATACTTCACTACACGTCATACTTCACTACACGTCATACTTCACTACTCGTCCATACTTACACTACTCGTAACTTCACATCCCCTCATACTATCACTACTCGTCATACTACACACTCGTCATACTTCACTACTCGTCATACTTCAACACTCGTACTTCACTACACGTCCAGACATCCACTACCGTCATACTTCACTACTCGCCATACTTCACTACTCGTCAATACTACATACACGTCATACTTCACAACACTCATACTTCACTATCGTCCATTCATCACTAACTCGTCATAAAACACACTCGTCATACAATCACTACTCGTCATACTTCACTCCTCTCATACTTCACTACACGTCATACTTCACTACACGTCATACTTCACTACACGTCATACTTCACTACACGTCATACTTCACTACTCGTCATACTTCACTACTTCGTCATACTTCACTATCGTCAACTACACTACTCGTCAACTTTCACTACACCTCATACTTCACTACTCGTCATCCTCACTACTCGTCAAACTTCACTACTCGTCATACTCACTACACGTCATACTTCACTACAATCAACTTCACCTACTCGTCATACTTCACTACTCGTCATACTTCACTACACGTCATACTTCACTACTCGTCATACTTCACTACAAGTCATACTTCACTACAAGTCATACTTCACTACAAGTCATACTTCACTACAAGTCATACTTCACTACAAGTCATACTTCACTACTCGTCATACTTCACTACAAGTCATACTTCACTACAAGCATACATCAACTACAAGTCATACTCACTACAAGTCATACATCACTCTCGTCATACTTCACTAAACCGTACTTCCCCTACACGCATCCTCACTACACGTCATACTTCACTACACGTCATACTTACCACTACTCGTCAAACTTCACTACAAGTCAATACACACAACTCGTCATACTTCACTACACGTCATACTTCAACTACCGTCTTCACAACACGTCATACTCAACTACTCGTCATACTTCCACTACACGTCATACTTCACTACAAGTCATACTTTCACTACCCTCATACTCCACTACACGTCTACCTCCACTACACTACATACTTCCACTACTCGTACTCACTACACGCATACTTCACTTATCGTCATATCACTACAACGTCAACTTCACTACGACATACGTCACTACCTTCCCATACTTCACTACAAGTCATACTTCACTACACGTCCTACTCCACTACACGTCTACTCCAGTACACGCCAAACTCCACTACACGTCATCTCACTACAAGTCATACTCCACTAACACGTCATACTCCCACTACTCGTCATTCCCCACTAACGTCAACTTCCTACACAGCATACTCCACTACACGTCATACCACACAACACGTCATACTTCACTGCTCTGTCATCTCTGCTGTTAGACACTGGTTTGTATAGAGTACATCACCGTAGGTGAGACGGAGTGTACTGCTCGTCACTCTGTGAAACACCATTTTTAGTACTGACTTGTCTGTATAAATCTAAGTCGAGTCTCACGCAGACATTACTAGCATATATATACTTATATTATTGTGTTATTCATATTCTTGAATTTCTTCATCTCACTGTACCTGTCGGCATATAAGAATCTTTTAGTCACTGAAGGTATACCAAGAGAAGGGTAGGAGCATGTCTCATTTATGTCAAATATTTTTAACTTTGTGCACATCTGCCTAGATAACTTTTTTTATTAAAGATCTTAAATATTATTGGTTTATGTTGCTCCAGTTGTGATCCCAAATTCTTATCGAAAAGCGCTATTGAGTAGCTTCTTCATTTTCACTGGATAAGTGGAGTGGAATATAATCCAACATCTTGTTACAAAGCCAGTAACTGGCTGGCGGCTAGAGGGGGATCAATTAGTCGACCCTCCGACATGCTCTGGAGGCGTCTGTTATACAAGACGCATTATGTAGCAGATTACGGCATTTCTGTGGATAATCGTATTTACATGTCCCATTTCTTTTACTAGTTTGCTTAAATAATACGTTAATAATATGACTGGGGTATTTGTTATAGACATCCCAGACGTAATACCAGTATATTTGTTGCAGACATCCCAGACGTAATACCAGTATATTTGTTGCAGACATCCCAGACGTAATACACTGGGGTATTTGTTGCAGACATCCAGACGTAATACCAGTATATTTGTTGCAGACATCCCAGACGTAATACCAATATATTTGTTGCAGACATCCCAGACGTAATACCAATATATTTGTTGCAGACATCCCAGACGTAATACCAGTATATTTGTTGCAGACATCCCAGACGTAATACCAATATATTTGTTGCAGACATCCCAGATATAGTACCAACATGTTTTTATTTTCTGTTGCTCACTGATTCAGTGGTTTCTGGATTAGTACTAGAAAAAGCTCTATACAGGGCTGTATCAAGCCACTTGATCAAGCTCTGGATAGAGCTTCGTCAAGTAACTTGATGAAACTGTGTAGAGTCAAACGTGTATAAATTAGGATTTGCTCTGTACAGTGTTAAGCACACGTATGTGTGTGTGGTATATATATATATATATATATATATATATATATATATATATATATATATAATATATATATATATATATATATTATATATATTGGCTTAGATAGCAACGCTCTTCTTGCCAAATAAGGCAAGCGAAAATTTGTGTATGCAGCAATTTCGCAAAAATCATTCTGAACCTAACGAAAAAATATATATTTCATTGTATTAGTTTATTATTAAATTATTGTAAACTTATCTTAAGTATATTTAGTTAGATTAGGCTAAATTAAATTGATATTGTTATAATAAGGTTAGGTAAGTTTTCTAAGATTCTCTTAGTACAAAATTATTAATTTTTACATTAATATCAATCAAAAATGTATCTTTAAATGTATAGGAAAATATTTTAGAAAGGACTTAACTTTAAATGAGTTTTTGCGTATTGACCAATTTTACCTATTCGGCACGACACACACACACACACACACACACACACACAACACACACACACACACACACACACACACACACACACCACTGTATATATATATATATATATATATATATATATTATATATATATATATATATATATATATATTAAAATTAAATTAGAAAAAAACATTGAACCCTAAGTAAAGTGGAGACATTTGTGTTGCAGGTGCTTGAACCCCCGCTCTACACTCATCTACGAGCTACCTCCTGTCGGAGGTAAGTAGAACCCTGCTTCTGTTATTATTATTACTATTATTATTATTATTATCGTTATTTTTATGTTATTATTGTTGTTATTCAGAGCTCAAAGTTATATCCGTAAGGGTCGTACAGCGCCTCTAAGAAATTAGAGGTAATGAGGTTTGAGCCGAGGGGATGGCAGTTCTATTTCCTTGGATCAGAAGCTCTTCATCGGCATGCAGGAGCAGCACGGTCTGAAACCTGCCCTCCAATTGAGCTCCCTTCATGCTTGTAACTTGGATATACCTTTGAAGAGTTTCGAGAGTTTCACTGCTCTCAGAGCTCGGCCATGGGCCAGGCTCGTCCGGTGCTTGCTTGATCAACCAGGCTGTTGCTGCTGGAGGCCCGCTGCACCACATATCCATCACAGCCCGGTTGATATGGCACCTGGTGAAGATACTTGTCCAGTTTCCTTTTGAAGGCTTCTACACTTGTCCCGGCCGTGTTTCTGATGTCTTTTGGTAAGATGTTGAATAGTCTGGGACCCCGGATGTTGATAGTGTTTCCTTATTATCCCCACCGCGCCCCTGCTCCTCACTGGGTTTTTGTTACACTTCCTCCCATATCTTTCACTCCAGTATGTTGTTTTGGCAGTGTGCAGATTTGGGACCAAGCTCTCGAGTACCTTCCAGGTATATATTATCATGTATCTCTCTCTCCTCCGCTCCAGTGAGTACATAGTCATGACTTGAAGGCGTTCCCAGTAATTTAGGTGTTTCACTGGCTTACTGCGAACTGTAAACGATCTCTGTATTTGTTCCAGCTCCGATGAGGGAGCACTATCGATTTGAAGAGTGTCACCATCGGTATTATTTCCCTTGTTTTGAAGGTTCTCAATACCCACCCAGTCATCTTCCTGGCTGTCGTGATCTTTGTCTTATGTTCCTTAAAAGAAAGGTCAGCTGACATAATTATTCCCAGATCTTTTACGTGTTCCTTACGTTCAGTTTGGTGACCCCTTGAGTTATGTAAATGTTCCTTTTGGTTCTTCTTTTTCCATACCTAAGCAGCGGGAACTTGTCACCTTTGAACGCATGTTCCCCATGCCCATTTAAAAAAACCCTTTTTATGTCTTCCTTTAAATTTTTTCAGTGTCCTCTACCGTATGACTTTATGTTATTTTATATTGAAATGATGTACAAAAGTGTGCGGGGTTTTTATGTATGTCTGCTTAAGGGGAAGGAAAAGGGCAGCAGAGGTCCAGGACAGTGCCTTGGGGCACTGAGCTTTTGACCTCGCGATGTGGTCTTACTCTGTTTATATTTACTATTGTGTTGTGTGTTTGAAACCCGATAACCATCGCCTGCCTTCCCCGAATGCCCATGGCCTTCTTTTTGGCCTATCACCCCTTTGAATCAAGAGAAAACTCACCAATCATGCAATAAGGAAAAATAATGCTACACCATTTCGTATTAAAGTGATAAAATGTCGTCTCGAGATCTGAAACATTAAACACCCCGAATTTCAAAGTAGGAAACACGAGTGTTTAAACTCTGGGCTTATCAAAGCAGACTGTTGTGTCCATCTGTCACACTGTTGTGTCCCAGTCACACTGTTTTTGTCCATCGTCACACTTTTGCCCATCTGTCCCCCTTTGCCCATCGTCACACTGCTGTGTCCTCTGTCACATTTTGTGTCCCATCTGTCACACTGTTGTGCCCATCTGTAAAACCTGTTGTGTCCATCTGTCACACTGTTGTGTCCTTGTCACACTGTTTGTCCATCTGTCCACTGTTGTGCCCGTCAGCCCCACACTGCTGTGTCCATTGTACACGTTGTGCCATCGTCACATGTTGTGTCCATCTGTCCACTGTTGTGTCCATCTGTCACATGCTGTGCCCATCTTCACACTGTTTTGTCCATCTGTCAACTGTTTGTCCATCTGTCCCCTGTTGTGTCCTTGTCAAAACGTGTGTCCATCGTCAAAATGTTTGTCCTCTGTCACATGTTGGTCCATTGTCACACTGTTGTGTCCTCTGCCACATTTGTGTCCATCTGTCACACTTTTGTTCCATCTGTCACACTGTTGTGTCCTCTGTCACAGGGTTGTGTCCATTTTTACACTGTTTTTTGCCCATTGTCAACTTTTGTGCCCATCGTCACATGTTGTATCCATCTGTCCATATTGTGTCCATCTTCACACTGTTGTGTCCTCTACACGCTTGCCCATCTGTACATTGTTGTTCCATCTGTCACACTGTTGTGTCCACTTCAACTGTTGGTCCTCTGTCACACTTTTCCCATTGTCACATGTTGTGCCCATCGTCACACGTTTTTCCCCATCTGTCACACTGTTGTGTCCATGTGTCACACTGTTGTGTCCATCTGTCCACTGTGTCCATCTGTCCACTGTTGGTCCATCTTCTACTGTTGTGCCCTTTCTGTCAACTGTGTCCATCTGCCACTATTGTGCCCTGTCACATGTTTGTCCATCGTCACATTTTTGTTCCATCAGTCACACTGTTGGGTCCACTGTCACACTTGTGTCCATCTGTCACACTGTTGTGTCCATCGCCCACACTGTTGTGTCCATCTGCCCCTGTTTTGTCCATCGTCACCTGTTGTGCCATCTGTACACTTTTGTGTCCCATCTATCAAAAGTCCCTCTATCATTCGTTGTGTCCATCTATCACAATGTTGTGTCCATTTTGTCAATGTTGTGCCCATCTGTCACACTGTTGTGTCCTTTTCTGTTTCCACAATGTTGTGTCCATCTGTCAAAATGTTGTGTCCATCTGTCCCCTGTTGTGTCCATCGTCCACTGTTATGTCCATCTGTCACACTGTTGTGTCATAGTCACACTGTTGCGTCCATCTGTTCCCCACTGTTGTGTCCATCTCTCACACTGTTGTGTCCATCTGTCAATGTTGTTCCATCTGTCACACGGTTTGTCCATCTGCCCAAAACTGTTGTTCCACTGTCACACTGTTGTGTCCATCTGTCACACTTTGTGTCATTGTCACACTGTTGAGTCCATCAGTCACATGTTGGTGTCCAATTGTCACATGTTGTGCCTCTGTACACTGTTGTGCCATCTGTCAAACTGTGTGGTCCATCTGTCTCACTGTTGTGTCCATCTGTCACACTGTGTTCCATCTGTCACACTGTTGTGTCCATCTGTCCCCACGTTGTGTCCATCTGTCACACTGTTGTGTCCATCTGTCACACTGTTGTGTCCATCTGTCTCACGTTGTGTCCCATCTGTCACAATGTGTCATCTGTCACACTGTTGTTGTCCATGTGTCTCACTGTTGTGTCCTCTGTCACACGTGTCCATCTGTCACACTATTGTGTCCATCTGTCACACTGTTATGTCCATCTGTCACACTGTTGTGTCCATCAGTCACACTGTTGCATCCATCTGTCACACTGTTGTGTCCATCTGTCACACTGTTGTGTCCATCTGTCACACTGTTGTGTCCATCTGTCACACTGTTGTGTCCATCTGTCACTGTTGTGTCCATCTGTCACACTGTTGTGTCCATCTATCACACTTGTCTCCATCTATCATTCTGTTGTGTCCATCTATCACAATGTTGTGTCCATCTGTCACACTGTTGTGTCCATCTGTCACACTTGTGTCCATCTGTCACACTGTTGTGTCCAGTCACACTGTTGTGCCCATCTGTCACACTGTTGTGTCCATCTGTCACACTGTTGTGTCCATGTGTCACACTGTTGTGTCCATCTGTCACACTGTTGTGTCCATCTGTCACACTGTTGTGTCCATCAGTCACACTGCTGTGTCCATCTGTCACACTGTTGTGTCCATCTGTCACACTGTTGTGTCCATCTCTCACACTGTTGTGTCCATCTGTCACACTGTTGTGTCCATCTGTCAAAACGGTTGGGGTTCCATCTGTCACACTGTTGTGTCCATCTGTCACACTGTTGTGTCCATCTGTCACACTATTGTGTCCATCTGTCACACTGTTGAGTCCATCAGTCACACTGTTGTGTCCATCTGTCACACTGTTGTGTCCATCTGTCACACTGTTGTGTCCATCTGTCAAACTTTTTGTGTCCATCTTTTCTCACTGTTGTGTCCATCTGTCACACTGTGTCCATCTGTCACACTGTTGTGTCCATCTGTCACACTGTTGTGTCCATCTGTCACACTGTTGTGTCCATCTGTCACACTGTTGTGTCCATCTGTCTCACTGTTGTGTCCATCTGTCACACTGTGTCCATCTGTCACACTGTTGTGTCCATGTGTCTCACTGTTGTGTCCATCTGTCACACTGTGTCCATCTGTCACACTATTGTGTCCATCTGTCACACTGTTATGTCCATCTGTCACACTGTTGTGTCCATCAGTCACACTGTTGCATCCATCTGTCACACTGTTGTGTCCATCTGTCACACTGTTGTGTCCATCTGTCACACTGTTGTGTCCATCTGTCACACTGTTGTGTCCATCTGTCACTGTTGTGTCCATCTGTCACACTGTTGTGTCCATCTATCACACTTGTCTCCATCTATCATTCTGTTGTGTCCATCTATCACAATGTTGTGTCCATCTGTCACACTGTTGTGTCCATCTGTCACACTGTTGTGTCCATCTGTCACACTGTTGTGTCCAGTCACACTGTTGTGCCCATCTGTCACACTGTTGTGTCCATCTGTCACACTGTTGTGTCCATCTGTCACACTGTTGTGTCCAGTCACACTGTTGTGCCCATCTGTCACACTGTTGTGTCCATCTGTCACACTGTTGTGTCCATGTGTCACACTGTTGTGTCCATCTGTCACACTGTTGTATCCATCTGTCACACTGTTGTGTCCATCAGTCACACTGCTGTGTCCATCTGTCACACTGTTGTGTCCATCTGTCACACTGTTGTGTCCATCAGTCACACTGCTGTGTCCATCTGTCACACTGTTGTGTCCATCTGTCACACTGTTGTGTCCATCTGTCACACTGTTGTGTCCATCTGTCACACTGTTGCGTCCATCTGTCACACTGTTGTGTCCAT